ATATCATAATTTTGAATATCTGTTTACAGATTCGAAAAGAGCAGAAAAAATTGAGTGGTTTTGGTATTTCCGCATACAGTTTTATTACTTGTGTTTCTATAAAAAGATGAAATAAAATTAAAAATTATATTTTTTCCTAATTATTGACTTATCGAGATTTAACTAAGAAAATCGTCAACCTTATTGTATGCTCTTGATTTAATCCAATTTTATTGAAAAATTCAACGAAAGGTCCGTATTGAAGAAAAAATTCTGAATTTAACGACTAAATTAAGAACGCCCTATATGTGAAATTATGGTAATATTTGTTTAAAAGTAAAATTTTTAAAAACAATTAAAATTTTAAGTAAATAATGAAAAACCACATTTCGAACAAAGTACACCTTTGCTTCAAAATACTAATCTGCGAAATAATTCTAAATAATTGTTAAAAATAATGGAAAATTAATATGCAATATGTATAAACTCCTTTACTTATTTCTAATTAATATTTTATTTAAAACTCGTTCATTTCTTAATTCTTCGGATGCAATAATAAAAAAAAGTAATTAAATACTATGGTTTCTAGTATTGATTATTTCAGTGAACAATACCATTTAAGTTGGATTTTCCTATTTTTAGTAATAGTCAGGTAGGCTGTAGTATAAAAAAACCAATTTGACAGTTCTGTGTATTATTGTCAGTGGAACATAATTTGCGAGTTTGTATTTATGTTATTTGATAATTTCTTGCTTAATATGCCCCATAAATTTGAAAATAATGAATATGCAGATATGTTGTATGTGTATGGATTCTGTGATGGTAATGGAAAAAGCTGTCCGAAGGGAATATGGACGCCGATTTCCTGGTCGAAGGTTACCAAATGACAAAACATTTTCTAATGTATTTAGTTACCTTAAAGAACATGGTAAATTCCCAACCTCAAAAGAAAATGAAACAACATGATAGACAACAGATTGGTTTGGATCAAAATATTCTAAAAATGATCCAAGACGACCCAAAAATCAGCACGAGAAGAATCAGTGACGCCATTAATGTTCCTCCGTCAACCGTTTGCAGGGCCGCCGAGAGCCAGGCCAGGCCCCAGGACAACTCTCTAGATCGGGCCCCGTGACAAGCTTTTCAAGCAAAAACTTTTCCTCCTCTACTTTAATTGAATTTTCTAAAAAAAAAAGTGTGGCCCCCCTTATACCGCTGCCGGGCCCCCATTTAAAAAATAATCCCTATCCATACCATTTACAACAAATGCAAAGGATGCATGAAGGAGATGAAATTCCTTGACTGGCTTTTAGTAGGTGGGTCTTGAGAAACAATCGAATATTACACAGGTGCTTATTTACCGATGAGGCTCAGTTTACCAGAGAACGTATTAATAATTCAAGAAATGCTCATATTTGGGCCGAACAAAATCAGTTTGCCATAAGACAAACACAATCACAGATAAGATTTTCTGTTAATATTTGGTATGGTGTTACAGTTCATCAAATTTCTAGAGGCTTTCGACGGCTAGACAGAGAAAGCACTACTGAGAGGCATCGGTTGGCGGGGCCGACGGATTTACGCAATGAAAGTACACTCTACGCATCAAGTATTTCACTATTTTATTCAGACGTAAATGTCAGATGTAAATTTCGCTAAAACATTTCTTTTATTTTCGTTTGTGTTTTTTGCTCATTACAGTTTAATAGAACCTAAGTATGGAGTTTAATAGCAAATTAAGAGGCCGCGTGATTAACAGTCAATCTCGCGAAATAATAGCCAATGTTATAGAGTTTATGAGAAGAGAAGGAAACTTTAATTCACCTTCAATACCATTTAAAAATGTAAATGATCGTGTTGCTGCAGCCACAGGAGTATCTAAAAACACTGTCATCCGCATTTCTGGAGAGAAAAAAAGAATCGATAACCGTGAGATATCGGAATTTTCATCACCAAGAAAAACCATTAAAAAACCAAAAACAGTTAATGATATAGATGAAGCTGACAAAGGTATTTTAAAAAGAATTATTCTGTTCATGTTAATCTCGGAAAATATTGTTTCAACATTAAAAACAAAACTAAATTTAGGGAAGCTACAAGGTACAAAGGAAGCTATGAAAGTTTAAGAAAAATAATAAAGTCGCTAGGATTTCGTTGGCGGAAAACAAAAACAAACAAAAAAATTTTAATGGAAAGGTTTGATATTCAAAAGCTACGTTTAGACTATCTGATTCGTTTAAAAAGTTATCGAGCAGAGGGCCGTCCAATTGTCTACTTAGATGAAACATACATTCATGCCTCCCACACACACCAGAAAGCTTGGAGTGATAATTCAAATAAGGGATTAAAGAAACCAATTAATAAAGGTTATAGACTAATTATTGTCCATGCAGGAGGTGAAATGGGCTTTATTCCGAATGCCCGGTTAATTTTCAAATCTGGAACCAAAAGTGGAGACTACCACGATGAAATGAATTTCAATAATTTTTCTAAATGGTTGAAAGAAAAGCTGTTTCCGAACCTCCCTCCAAGAAGCGTCATTATTGTTGATAATGCTCCTTACCATAATGTCCAGGTAAATAAAGCACCAAGGTCAACTTCTAAAAAAGCTGACATGCAGGATTGGTTAAGGAATCATAATATTGCTTACGAAGAGGATATGCTCAAAACGCAATTATACAGTTTAGTGGTATTGCATAAGTCACGATTTAAGAGGTATGCAATTGAAGAAATGATAAATGAACATGGTTTTAGTTGTTTGCGTTTGCCACCGTATCATCCCGATCTTAATCCGATCGAATTAGTGTGGGCATCATTGAAACAATATGTAGCTAATAACAACACTACATTTAAGAGGCAAGACGTACAACTGTTGTGTGAAGACTTTTTTGATACGTTTTCTAAGAGGAGTGGCAATCTCGTTGTAATAATGCTAAAATGTGGGAATCTAAATTTTATGACAGAGAAGTTACTTTGGATGAGGCAACTGATAGATTTATAATTAACTTAAACAGTAACAGTGAGACTGATTTTGAATCTGATATGGAAACTGAAGAAAGTTTTTCGGAAGACCATTAAAATTATATCTGTACCTAAGATCAAAAAAGTATTATCTATTTTTACAACGAAGATGCACAAGAATCAAATTTTATTTTTTTATTATTAGATAGCTATTTTTGTTTCTGAGTTGTGTTCATTTACAGGCTCAATTTTTTTCCGTTTCTCCTTTTTGATTTTATATGGGGTTTCAAGTTGTTTTTGACTTATTTCGACGTAAATCACAACAACACACTTTTTTAATAAAGCAAACAAGTGTTAAGAGGTATATGTACGTGTAAACTACAATTACAAAAAATTGATATGAAATCCATGAAACCACCAACAAAAATGTAAAGCTAGCTTCCGTACTAGAACATGGTGTCATTCGTCGAGATAATTTATCGTTTTGTTTAATAGATCAAGAAATGTAAATATTCCCCTGTTATTCTTTATAAAATTATAAGAGAAATAAATTTTTTTCTAAATAGTATAGTTTATTATTTTGTAGAAAAACAAAATTTCGAAAATTTTAGTAATGTTTCAGAAACAACCGTTATTAATAATAGGTACCATTTTCCTTAATAAGGTAGAAATAAAATATAAACTATTTCCACGATTTACAAAGGCCTACAAAAAAAATATAGGTATTTTCCGCTATCCTATAAAATTTATATTTTCTGGCTCAATTTCAAAAGGTTGAAGGAATTCCAAAACACCTTTTATGGCATAATAATTATTTTCAATTCTACATACTATCTTTAGCTGCTTTTAAAAACGTTCTAAGAAAGTCCAATCAGACCAATTTAATCCCTAAACTATTCCACACTTTTAAAATTTAATTACCTAAAAATATTAAAAACTATTTAAAATAACTTGTTTAGCAGACTGTACAATAGCTATCTTAGTCACACGTAGCGCGTTCTCTGTCTGGGCGTCGAACACCTCTAGAAATTTGATGAACTGTAACAACCGATTAATTGGACCGCATGTGAGTATTTTCACCTTTTCTTATGTGTATATTTTACGTTTTTAACAAATATTACCACACTATCGTTACAAGTACAGGGCGTTTTAGATAGTATGGAAATTAGAATTTTAAGAATTTTATACCCAATACAGACCTGTCGTTGCGTTTTTTTAAAAGAGTGAGATCCAAAAATTAAAAGAATGAACGAGGGTAATTATGAATTTAAACTGGAAAAGTAAATACCTAATTGGGAAAAAATATTTTTTTTAATTTTATTTCATCTTTTTATCGAAACACTTAGATTTGACTCAAATTAATAAGTAAGAAAACTGTATGCGGAAATACCAAAACCACTTGGTGTAACTCAATTTTTTCTGCTCTTTTCGAATCTGTAAACAGATATTTAAAATTATGATATACAGGGTGTTGTTTTAGGTATCGAAAATTTGTAAATTTTTTGTTAATCCGCACCTAAATTTTCCCTATTATTAATACGTCACTGGATTTGAAAAATTAAGGTGTACTTATATACTAAATATCAAAAAAGAAAACGGCGTGTTTCAAAAGTTATAAGCCTAGAAAGAAATTGGAAAAATTAATAAAACACACTATATCTCGGTTATAAAAGGCGACAGACCCATGAAGTATTGGTTTTTTGGAACCACCTAGGTGACCCCCATATGCAGTTAACATAGGCCCATTTACCAATGAAATACCCTGTATAGTGACATGAAAATCATCGTCTACGGCTTTTCATACACTTTTTTTAAAAGGTTTTCTAGAACGACGTTTTTTTTTATTGGCTTGATCAAAATTCTGATGTATTGGTAGATACCTATTAGTTGTTACGTAACTTCTGGACTTCTCTGATCAGTATAATATGAAGTGTAGATACAATTGAATTATTTTCTTCTTCATAATGTTTGGTTTAAGAACTAAAAGTAATTTTTTAATGTTATTAAGAACATGAGAATATTGTTACGCAGTTCATACATATATAATTTATACTTTTTAGGCAGACTTCAATAAAAAATATGAAGATGATTTAGCAAATAGTACTTTTGCAGTTTTCAAAAAGAATTTGCAGGAAATAGAAGACCATAACAAATTGTATGAAAAAGGACTTGTTACGTACAAAAAAGGTGTGACAAAGTTTGCTGATTTAACAGCAGAAGAATTCATAAAAATTTACAAACTTCATCAAGGAGAATTGAGTCAATATGAAAATCCATTTAAAATTCCTTCAAATTCTACCGAATATCTTAACTGGAAAGAGAAAGGGGCAGTATCTAAAGTTAAAGATCAAGGGATATGTGGAGCTTGTTGGATTTTTAGTGCAGTAAGTTATAAATAGATTGTTTTCCATTGTAGTAAAACTTTCATACAAAGCGGAATTATTCTTTTTTTTTCTTCTTCAGAATTTCAATAGATTTTTTTTTAATTCTCACTTGATTTTTAGAAAAAAATATTTTAGTCGCGGTTTTTAAGTTTTAAAACGTTATGTTTCTACTTTGATATGTGGCAACGTTGCCTAGTAATTAATTAGAGTCGTGAAGGGTATAACACCAATACTAAAACCTAAAACATGATTGACTTACATTGCTTAATGTATATTGTAACTGTAATAATCCAAAAAGGATCTTTAAGATTAGCTACTTGTTAATTTAATTGCTTGATAAATATACAGTCGGAACCATATGGGAAACTTTTTTATCATTAATTTTATGAAAAAAAGTAATTCTTTATAAAAAGTTCTTTATGGTACAAAACTTAAAATGCAACCATCAGATATTAATTTTTTTAAACCGTATACGAGGTTTTTGAGCTTTTTGATAAACCCCATAGAAGAGTGATAAAATTTGATATTTGATGGTTGTATTTCAGGCTTTAGACCATGCTTTTATGAAGAATAACTTTTAATATTAACAATAAATAAGTTTTTCATATGCCGTCAACTTACGTAGACAGTTGGTGATATATGAGAAACTGTATAACTACCATAAAATAAAATATTGTTTTTTTCAGGTAGGTGTTGTAGAAGGCAACTACTTCAGAAAAAATAACAAAACGATAACATTGAGTGAACAAAATCTAATAGACTGTCTACCTCAGGAAACATGTCAAGGAGGATATCCTCCGATGGTATTAGAATATCTACGGAATGAAAATAATGGAATCAATACCGCCGAGGATTATCCGCATAAGGGTATGAAGGGTGCTTGTAGATATGAAAAATCAAAGAAAGTTAAATTGGATCTTCACAATTTTACGGTAATTGTTTTTTTTTAACGTCAGCATTTTTGAGAAGTAAATATTTTGAAATGTTCAAAATTAAATGAAGGATAACGTTGTCGATATTTTAAAGATGTATTCATTCGTGAGAATCCTTTGAATTAACTTTAAACATTCTGCTGAAATCTACTATAAGTACTCTATCGGGAAAATATATATTTTTTTTTAATTTGGTGTCATCGGCGTCGACTACTAAGGCCATTAGCCTCGTGTTCTGTGTAGGCTTTGTTACTGTTTCCCAGCGCCACTGTAGGAACAGCACTGTTAATTAGAACCCAATAGTGAATGGTCGAGTGGAGAATCCAACCAAGGCATCAGTAAATAAAAAAATCCCGGCCAACGGTGTGATTCGAACCTGGGACCCTTGGATCCACAGGCAGAGACTCTACCACTGAGCTACCCACCACCTGTGAAAATAATTATTTCTGTTTTTGTCATAGTTATTGCAAATACGCTTTACAGTACATGAAAAAATTCCATGATACATAAATTAAACTGATATGTTATTAAAAATGGTCCGTTTAGTCTTAGAATAAAAAAAAGAACTATTTTTCATATATAAAAAAAACTAATATTACAATCTGATTAAAAATAAAATGAGTAATTTTTTTCAACCCAATTTTGAGGTTCAATTCACAACTAGAGGATGGATTGCCTCAACGTTCACATGGTAGTTTGTTCATAACACCCAGCGAATTCACCGACCCCTTAAAACTCGCTAAAATTAAATTATTTGTAATACACTAGTATTTTCATTTACTTTATGATATAAATATTATTTATTTACTTATTTATTCACTTATTTTGTTTACACCGCCAATTACAGAGGAGGTGAAATAAATATTAGGATACAATCTGTAGGAATCAAATAATACATTTAATGCGTACATTTATTTATTTTTACTATTGTTTTCAACTACATAATCTGATTTGGTGTCAAAGTTTGGTATGGTTTTTCTATATGCTATTGTTGTACGTATACAACTACCTCTATTGTGACCGAGGATGCTTCTGTAACCAATTTAACACCTCTCTCAACAGCCTGTGTGTGGCAAGGTAATTTCCAGAGATTTTCCACTAGCAAATTACCAGTTTCAATAAAATCTTAAATTCCTTTGTCGGTTAGGTGCCATGGCAACAATTTTTACGTAACTGATTACGGCTAAATGAAATTAGACCTTAAATTCCGTTTAGAAATCCTCAAACTTAAATTAAATTTGACATAGAATATTATATAAAAGGTTACCACGGTATGTGTGACCTCACCACCGTAACCACAATACTGTAACCAAGTATGTTGTAGTAAGCTGATAAGGAAATTCCTTAAAAGTATCCACCGAGTGACATCACAGTTAACCCAGCACAAATTAAACTAATTTAGCTATCCTCTTGTTGATAGTACTCTTTTAACTTGGCTGGCTAGATCATTTATCAAACAAATAAATTCACTTGATTCAAAAAAGTTTTAAAAACTTTTAGATAACACAAAGTAATTATGTTTCAAAGCTTTCTAAAAGTACATTGGTTATTACTTTATAGATGACGTAATATTAATATTTAAAAATTATGTAAGGTATTTTTTTATATTTCTTTTTTTGTTGATTTAAATTGGTCACTTGGCAAAAGCGCGCTAATTTGTATTGACAGGCATGACAGATATAATTTTAAAGAATGTTTGGAATGTATGGAATGTTGGGAATGTTGGGAATGTTAGTCGTTAGGAATGTTAGTCGTTAGGAATGATCGTAATGCATAATATAAGTCGCACTGAAATGCACAGGCGGATTTTAAGAACATTGATATTAAAAAAGTAGTTAGGATAAACCGTAAATTCTAAAAATCAATATGGTTTTAAGTTAGAAGCAATTATTCAAAAAAATCAAAACCGTAAGTCAATCAGAACTTTCGTTCTAAAGTTATCGTGCCGGCATACATACACAAAAATGACCAGACGATATTTTTTTGCATTTTCGGACTCAAAATGATCGAAACCGTGAAAAAAAGTATAACAAATTGGGGTTAAAAAATTTTTTTTAGCTGCACGAATGCAATACCTTATGGGAAGGGCCTCAGTAATTTTATTTCATAAATTAGTAAAAGTTATAAATTATTTTTAAATTAGTTATTTTATCTTAATAACCCAAAATAATTTTTAAAAAATTTATATTTTCGTTAGTGGGTCGTAGAAAAAATATACTGTACCACTCTACTAGATTGTCCAAACTACTTTTGCTACCCAGACCGCAAAAATAAAGCGGCTCCACTATCTAAACATTTTGTTTTATTTTCAGTTTATCTTTTAATACTGCCAGCGATATTTTTTTTGGTATTTTAAAATAGTATTCCATAATCCACATAATAATAATAATAATATAATGTTAATTTACATCAATAAATTTACAATAATAAAAAAAAAACAGTTTCAAAATACAGTGTGTCAATAAACATGTGACGACCACATAAGCGAACTTGTACGTGGCATGGATATTTTTTTTATAGAATATTAACGCCTCCTTAGATATCTTACACTCCACAAGGATGTATATCATATTTGAATGGAACCATTTTTAATTGAATAAGAGTCAAAATAAATAAAATATAATTAGATCTATTTGACACATAATAATATTAACAATACTCTCCCTAATTCACCCCCTTACGAGTGAATTTTAATTCCAAAAGCTGAGCTTATCCGGGAAAGGGACAGTTATTATTATTTATCGTGGAGCCTCGGGGCGAGATGACTGATGGTACTATTTGACTTATAGGTGAAAAAAACCCGAAAAACCCCACCCACCATCATCGAAACATAAGCACACTAACATGACAGTAATTGTTCAATTGTTATCAAGATTATACCTAGCCATTCTGAGGGCCGCCGGGAGCCATGGTGTGGCCCCGGGACAAAACATTGGCAATGGCCCCTTATTATTAAGAATATTGGTAGATTTACGAAAGTTGGATAACAGAAAACAGGGATTAGGTTCAAAAATCAAGCATTTTTATAAAATCAGGTCCCTTAGCTTGTGTTTCGTAAAACATGTCCCCCTTTTTGTGGCGAGCTAATTATAACCTATTTCGTTAAAGCTGTCGGGCCCCCCTTGTGCCTGGACACTGGGGATTTTTCTCCCCCTACCCCCTTCTAGTCGGGTCAGGCCATTCTAATCAATAAGATATATTTTTAATATTTATATATACGGACAAAAAGTGTATTTTAAAACTAAACTTTTCGTCCTTATTAAAAAACTACTACCATTTGTTTGTTTTAGGCAACGGTTTGTAATGAAGAAGAATTGAAAGAAAATCTCGAAAAATACGGACCAATGACAATTGCTATTTCTGCCAACGGGAATTGGAGATTGTACGAAAGTGGAGTATGGTTTGAAAAATCTTGTTCAAGCTGGCCCAACCATGCGGTACTACTTGTTGGATATGGTACAGACAACGGACGAGACTACTGGTTAATTAAAAACTCGTACGGAAAAGAATGGGGTTTAAATGGTTACATCAAAATAGCACGAAATGTAAACGATAATTATTGTGGGATAGAAATGTTTACAATGTATATAGAGTAGGATTGTTACCTATCAAAATTAAAGTTGAATGAATGTTGAATGAAAATGATGAATGTAAAAAATTTTTACATTCGTGTTCACAAATATTTTCAAAAAGTTACTTACGTGTAAATCCTTAAAGTTAGAGACTTCAACGTTATTTTATCGAACAAATAGAATTGAGCGGTGGTGTCGTTTTTAAATAACACTTTACTGTGATTAATAAAATTCAAATAAATGAGGTACAAATTAAATATTCGTTAGTATTTTTCTGAAAAACATTTATGAAATTGATAGACAGAATGGCAATTTACCTGGATTAAAAAATAATTAAATACGTTAAATATCTATTCGATATTTATTATAAAAACGTTTTTATTTTTAAGGATTTACATTTAGGTACATTTTTTTAATAAACAAATAATTAAATGAGTCATAAAAATCAAATATTACAAACACATAAATATACCATGCATGTTGGATTGGTGTTTCTCTCGACAATTATTGTATCATTTCATTATCTGTTTACTAGACTAGAGTTAACCCATTAAAGCCGGAGTTTCTGAATTTTTTAAATTTAACTTTTTGTTGCAATATTATTTGTCTAAATGATCTACCTAATAAAAAAGAATAAAAAAAAAATTGTCTTACTCTGATTGTTTACCAGATATTGACTGTTGCCTGGTGCTTACCAATTATTATGTAAGATAAATCGTTTACATACACAGCACAGGCAACACGTTTCAGTTCCTCAGCGTACTATTTGGAGCTACCTCGCACATTACAGAATTGGCTGATTGGCTTGACAGCTAAAGGGAGAAGAGAAGAAGAAAATAAAAAGAAGAGTGTCTAGTTTCCCCGCGGTTCATTCACATGTACTTTATTATTTATTTACATTTTTTGGAATTCATTACTCAAAAAAAATAATATTTAAATTAAAAGACTGTATTTAACATAAATATTATAGTCTAATGTACAAGTTCAAAAGCGTGTTTTTGGGACATACTATTACGAAAATTATGTTCAATAGCTCATTCGATTCGGAATAATGTCTAGATCAATGTGTGAAAAAAAATTTTGCAGTGCATAAAAAATTACAAAAGTTATAAATAATTAAACACCTCAAAAACATAGTGTTTGGTTTTTCGCCTATAGTTTGTAAACTATAAATATTTTTTAATTTTTCAAAAAAGATCCTTAAAGAGGAGGAAATTTGCTATAAATAAGTTCTGACTTCCGGAACTGTGCCTCCATTATTTATAATTTTAATTTAACGCTCAAAGTAGCATTCCGCGCGCCATTTTGAGGATGCGCGCACGGCGTCGAGACCGAGTACGTTACATAAAAGTTTAAGTTAATAAAATTAAATTCAAAAATTTTAAAAAATTACGGTGTACTCTAAACACTTAGAAGAATTGATTCCCGTTGGAATTTTTCATTAAAATTAATTTTCCAACAAAGTAGGTTATTGTTAATTAACAAAATTTTTAGAATTTCTCTCATCATTACAAATTGATAAAAATATTAAATAATTACCGTAAATTTTTTGCTTCGTGGAGCTCTTTATATACATATAAAACAAAATAGCTTCATAAAAGTTTAAAAAATGTTAATACTTTGTTAATAATAATTTTTTAAAGTTTACAAAAAGAGAAAAGTCACAGTGGTGCCATAAATATTTTTTTTAATTTATTATAAAATTACTGTTTTAATGTCGAGAAAAGACATTTATTAATTAAAAAAAAATTTTTTTTTCCTCCATTTGTTTATAAACCTTTTATAAACAAATGGACTACTTTAATTTTTTTCAAATTTTTTTTTTACAACTTTCTAGACAATTTCCAATTATGATTTTTTAAAAAAAAATTTTGCGTAGTAATAACTTTTAATTGTTTATAATCGTTTTTTTAATAATTCTATTGTCAAAATTATTAGTTAAGAAATGTTTTTTTTAAATCATAATTGACAGTCGTCTAGAAAGTGACAGCAAAAAAATTTTTTTATCAATAATTCCATTGTTTATTAAGTTAAAAATTTGTTATAAACAAATTCCCAACTTTGGTTTATTTTTTCCTGAAAGAAATAAAAATTCCAAAAACGACTTAGTGCAATAAAATTACGGAAAAAAATTTATTCCATTTTTTATTAAACTTTGAAAATATACGTACCATCAAAGTTGCAGCAGCTGATCCATTTGTTGACTTAAAAGTTGATATAACTTTTAAACTATTGGAGATACGACAATAAACATTCAAGTCAGTTTTGTAGGCAATAAGATCAGATAAGTCATTTGTCAATTCCGTAACTATTGTCAATTTGTTGTTTTTTTTATATTTGTTTATAAAAATTGATTTTTTTTAAGTTTTTCGAACTTTAAGGCAATTCTGTTAAGCTATTAATTATATAACATTTGCAATTGTTTATTTAATTTTGAGTCAATTTTTTTATAAACTATTATAATTTTTTTTCCTAAATTACTAAAAGAGAACAATTTAGGCTTTTTTTTGTTAAGCAATCTGAAAAAAATAAAAGCAACATGATAAAGAGGAAAAACGTAATTACACGTTTATGCTTCTTTTGCTTAGAATCCTAAATTAGGTCTTTTTGCCTCGGTCAATATGTTTCAAAATAATATATACAAAAATTACTTGTGAAGTCACTGTTGTGCCTTTTATTACTATGGTATGTACAATATGTACTTGTGTTTTTGTAACTTCTTCTGTATCATGAATAGAATGAATAGAAATGGATAAGTACCCAGGACTTTTTAGCAAGTATCGGATATGGTCATCCATTTTTTGCGGTATAGATCTCTGCAGACTAAAGTGGGTTTTGTCCTAATCTATTAAATGCATAGCTGGTTCAAAAAATTTTATAAACCAATTATTAGATACCAAAAGTACAGTAACTACAAGGCAAAACAAATTGAGATAATTGGCAGTCGCACTGAAAGAAATGTCCAAATCGATCTTCCGAGACGTATAACGACAATCAAGGTGTTAAAGAGTTAGGCATGGACATATTGTGAGACATAGCTGCATTTCTGGGTACCTAACTATAACTCTGTGTGCAGTCTACCCTGAAACGCCCTGTGAAAAATGTTCTCAGAATAGGAAGAAAATAGAATTACAAAATAAACAGCTTAGATTTTCTTAGAAATCATTAAGCTATGTAAATTTTCGCGTTATTATGAAATGAAAAATATTTAATTTAAATTTTCCGAGAATTTATCGCATATAGAGATGAAGCCGGAAACTGTTTTATTTGTATAAAACAGCATTTCCCAGATTACTCCAAATAGTTTAATATCTTTATCACGAGCAATTAATCGTTTAATTTGCATTATTTTTTGTTTTTGTAAATATTTTGATGTTTAGAATCTATTTTAGTTTTCGCTATCATTTAGGAAATATCCGTTTTTCCAAAGTATGCTTCGAAATGCAACCGCAAAGTTGACGTTTTCCGCGATCTGACATTAGGTGACAGCTTTGTCGCTCTCCGACGTCAACGTCTGTCATAAATTGCCAATGTCAGCTTTCTTATAATTAAAAAAAAAAGGAGTTAGAAGTAGGTTTAGTTTGTTTTTTGGCGAATACCATTTATTAAAGCTAGGAGTGCTGGATGATACTGTTTGTCTTCATCTAACAATATAGGTATCTGGCGCTGAAACAACCTCACAGTCCAGATTTAAAAATACTAAATCCAAAAGTCTATTATTTTGATTTAAGAGAGAGTTATATTGTTTTAAATAGAAAAAATTTGAAAAATTATTCAAGGAACGTACTTTTGAGCTATTATTATTATTATTTTCAGACAGACGATACGTATTCAGCCACATTGAAATCACCTAAAATTAATGTTTTATAATGTTGGAGATTCAAGGACTTCAAGAAATTACTTAAATAAGTTTATACTAACATCGGGCGGATTGTATATCAGAATTGTGTTGACCCTAATATATATGATCTTTGTTTTCACTCCTATTATATATATATATTAAATAATAATATTTCAACGTAGGATGGCTTCTTAGATTTAAATTTACCGGAGACAAGATAGATTCGATTGCTAGCGTGACACTTCCATCCTTTAAGCGACCGGTGTTTTAAAAATCTCTATAATGGTGAAATATTGAGTATCGTTTACAATCAAATATTTCGGAATCGTGAACGGTCCCGTCTAAACAAGTTTCGGTAAAAGCAATGCACGAATTTTGTCCATTTAAAATAACGGTAAAAGGTCAAAAAACGCTGATTACGAAAATGAGGGTTAAAACTGGCAGCAATGGTTGGAAAACCCCTAAAATTGCAAAAAAATTCGACTGTACTTGTTGTTTTGTTTACTAAGCCATCTTATGTTTTTTGGAGCGCTGATTATGAAAATCGGGGTTAAAACTTGCGGCAATGATTGAACTACTCCTAAAATTGCAAAAAACACCCCTAAATAGGAATGTTTTTTGACTGTACTTGTTGTTTCGCAAACTAACTCATCTCATATGTTTTTTAGGGCGCTGATTTCGAAAATCGGGGTGTTAAAACTGGAAAATTTGTGTGACTTTCCCCACATGCCAGAAACACCCCTCCCAAGGGGTGAATTTTCGGAAAAAATTACCAGTCACGGTGTTTCGCGAACTAAGTCATCTTATATGTTTTTTGGGACACTGATTACGAAAATGGGGCTTAAAACTTGCAGCAATGGTTGAACGACCCCTAAAATTCCAAAAAACACCCCTAAAATTCCAAAAAACACCTTTAAGTAGGGGTGTTTTCTGACTACTTGTTGTTTTGCAAAGTAACTCATCTTATATGTTTTTTGGGTCGCTGATTTCGAAAATCGGAGTGTCGAGACTGGAAAATTTGTATGACACCCCCACATGCCAGAAACACACCTCCCAACCGGTGGATTTTGGTGAAAAATTAAATATAAAATACAAAAACTAAAAATCAGCGACCCAAAGAACATATGAAATAAGTTATTTTGCAAAACAACAAGTACAGTCGAAAAACACCCCTATGTAGGGGTGTTTTTTGCAATTTTAGGGGTGGTTCAACCATTGTTGCAGGTTTTAGTGTTTAGTGAACTCTTTAACTTGCGAGCTTATCCTAGTTCCAAAACTTTAATTAATCTAACTCAATGGGCTAGGGATACGGGTGATTTGCGAAAACATCGCAGAGGACATGTAGGAAGGCTGATACGAGAAGACATGAAGTGGGTTTGTGTAAAAGTAAATGGATAACTTTGAACATATCTAAATTAGATAGGACCATATTGGATACATTTTGGAATATATCAATGTAAATATCTTATTTTTGAGTTTTTTGAAAAGATATTTAAAAAAATTTCTGTGCCACTTGTACATAATATAAACAACTATTTTCAATAGTTGAAAAACGATACATATGTACATAAAAACAATAAAAACGATCGAATAAACCATTGAAATTTGTATTTATATATTTTTAAATGCTAAAGACGGATTTTATTGGTATTCAACAAATGAATCAATCAATTCAATTACGAAAGAGCCAAATATATAAATTAGATTTTCCAGAAAACCTGCCGAAGCATGTGAAATTTAACGAGACACACACGATACTACAATAATTTCAACAGTTATATAAGTT